GCCCCAGCTGTCCTAAACTCACTATGTAGACCAGGCTGGCGTCGAACTCACAAAGATCCGCCTGCCTCTGTCTACCAAGTGCTGTCATTCATGTCGTGCAATGCCACAGAGGTCAGAAGAGGGCTTTGGATTCCCCTGGAACTGGAGTTAAGGACAGTTTGTAGCCACCATGTGGGTACTGGGAATCGAACCTAGGTCCTCTGCAAGAGCAGTCAGTGCACTTAACCACTGAGGCATCTCTCTAGCCCCCAAAATGAATAATTTTTAAAAAGAAGAAGAAAGAGAGCCCCTTCCTGCCTGGGTCTCCACAACCCAGTTTCAGTCTGGAGACAGATGACCCCATATGCCTGCTTCTTATAAGTCCTCCCAGAATGATTTTGTCTCAGTCCTTTTTATTTATTTATTTATTTATTTATTTATTTATTTATTTATTTATTATTTATTTTCTTTTCGAGACAGGGTCTTCCCTGTAGCCCCAGCTGTCCTGGAACTCACTGTTTAGACCAGGCTGGCCTTGAACTCACAGAGATCTGCCTGCCTCTGCCCCCCTGAGTGCTAGGATTAAAGGTGTGCACCACCACACCAGCCTCGGGCCTCTTTTGTATAAGTAAATAACCACCCCTGACTGGGCCATCCAGTCCTGAATGAATGGGGAACAGCCACTAACCCTCAACTCCCAGGAAAACCCAGCAGACTAAGAGAAGTGCCTTGTGTGAGTGGGTGACAAAGGGCAGCCAGTGAACAGGAGATGGTTTTCCCAGGTGAGGGCACAGTGTGTGCAAAAGCTTGGAGGTGGATACTGGAGGAAGCCCACAGACCAGCTGAGCTGGACTTTGGCAACCAGGGGTCTTTGGGCTGTATCACTTGCAGCCTGAGGTCTGTAGTGTTTAAAGAGGGTTTGACCATCTGTCCCTTCCTAGCAAGAAAGAAGGGTCTAAAAGGGGCTACCCTGGTCAGGGGGACCCCTGGTACCTATTTGACTGGAGGGCTGGGCTGGGTTTCAGACAGGAATCTCTTTGATCTTTACTGTATGTTTGGGAAGGTTAAATAAACTGGTCAAGACTTAGCACACTGCATGCGTCCTGTTAATACTTTAGCCCTGGTCCTCTTTAGGTCACAGCTTCCACCTTGGTTTCTCAGGGTGGGCACAGGGCAGGGCAGTGCACCTGAGTGTGTCAGCTGGAATATCCCCAAGGAAGAAAAAGACATTCCTGCCCAGTTCCTCATGTCTGTGCTTCTCACCTCCTTTGAAAACACTCCCACTCATTACAGATCTACAGCCAGGCCCTGGCTCACACCCTTCTAAAGGCAGCAGCAATTAGATCCTTAGCATAGCCCCAACCCACCTGCTCCAGCATTTCAACCCTAATCCCTTAATCTCCCTTCATGGCAGACTGGCTCTGGGGCTTTTGCCCTGAACTGCCCCTTCCCTCCCTCTCTTCCCCCAATTAAGGGACTCTCTCTTTACAAAGAGCCCCTTTCCCAGGTAAAGGCCTCCTTGCCTGCAAGAAGGTCTAGGAGTAGCCCTCAGTGGCTCCCTTGGTGGCCATCTTGCTCCACCTGGAAGCCTCTTCAGAAGTGAAGCTGCCATCCATGGCCTCATGGCCCGAGTACAATCCGGGGATGCCTGAGATGGCGCCTTCCTCCTTGCTCTCTCTCCTCTTGTCCTGGTTTCTCGGAGTTTCCTGGAACAGTCTCCCCTGGCTCTTTCATAATGACTTCTGTTTTCATGTCAACACACCTACCCTGCCAGGGCTAGCTGCCTCCCTGTCATCTCCTTCCAGGAGCCACCAAGGCCTGTCACAGTGGAACTGGAGCCAGGGCCTTGATTGGATAGATACCTCCTGGTGATGGCCTATGGTGACCTCCAGCTGAACTTTGTAGGGCCCAGCCTCACCTGTCCCTCCTGTTCTCAGCTCTCAGCCACAGAGGGGTCAGCAGAGCCTCAAGGGGCTCTGTCCCTGGAGCTGCCAGCAGAAGTAGAGCAGTTAAGGGGTGGGACAAGGTGACCCAGCATACAAGTCTGTCAGAAGCTCTTTCCTGGGAAAGATCTGTCACTAATTGGCTTGCAAATGCCTTGTTTGTCCCCAGATTCATAGCCAGTGCTAAGGGCTTCCAGGGCCCCATGCTGGAGGGGTTTTCTGGGGGCAGTCTGTTCCTCTTCCCTCTGAGGTCTATGTGCTGGGGGGTGGGCAGAGTCGGGCACCAATGCCCAGCTGCCATCTGGCATTCCCACGGCTCCAGTGCCAGTGTTGTGAATGAGGGGGTGGGGGGGGACTGGGCTCCCCACCATCCTTCAGCTGGGACCACTGCCAAAGCCCCGAGGCTCCAGGAAATGATGGAGCTGGGGAGCAGCCATGGTGGGGGGGCTGGATGATACCACCGGGAAGGCGAGTCCAACAGAACTGGCATGGACCAAGCCTCCTGCAGGCTGAATGGGTAACAAGGGGCCTCTCTTCCCCAACACCTCTCTACAAAGGCCTTGGCTACGCCATTGGATAGGGAGGGGGGAAAGGGACTAGGGGCCACCAGAAGATAAAGGAGGTTGTTCTCAAAGGCTTCTGACCCTCTGTGCTCCTGGGTTGGGGTTCCTGGGCCTGAGTTCAGGCCCAACTTGGGCTTGGATATACTGAATAAAGTGACTTCTTTTCTAGCCTCTCTGGGTTTTTGTTTCCCTCATTGATGGTCCCTGACCTTCTTTCCAGCCCTGGTACTCCTCTCTTGGTGTCTGTCCTGCTTACCCAGCCACCTGTGGAGCCTCAGCCCTGAATCTTCGACAGTTCTTGGCCCTTGTCAGGAAGGCTCACTCTCCCTTTGCTATGGTGGCCTAGGAAGCTTCTAAAGTTGCTGTAAGCCAGTGGCTAGGGACCTGCCACTTGTAAGTTGTGTGTTCTGGAGGAGCCCCTTGGCTTCCCTAGGCCTGTCTGCCAAGGACTTGGAAGGGTCATTACTAGGCCAGAGATCCCTGTGAAGGGCCAGGAGGAGACCTAGCCAGAATGGCTGCTCCATGAGGTTCTTTGGCCCTGTTCCCCTCCGACTCACAGAGCTTCTACCAGCATGCCTGTTATTTCTGGGGCTGGGGTTGTTCTTTAAGGTTCCATCCCTGTGGTTTTTGCCTCACCTTTCCAGTAGCCTCTCTATATTCTGTTTTGTTTCCAGTTTCTTTCCCAGAACTGGCCATTTTTCTTCGGTCAGTCCTTCCTGAAGTCTAACCTTTCATTGAAGGTTGCCCCTCCCCAGGGGCTAGGCTTTTCCCAGGCTACCCTGCAGCTGGAGCCCAAGGAGAAAGGGAGGGGGCAGGATCTATGGTAACCCTGAGAAGAGAATGCTCTCTCCTCATCTGCATATAGACGGGCTCATCTGCATATACTCAGTGGGACTCTGAGAGCACATTCAGGAGACCGCAGCCTGGTTCCTCCCATCCCAGTCCTGGCATCCCTGTCTGGAGAGGGACCCTTCCCCGCCCTCCTGCCCCTGTCTGGGTCTGAGTCTTTCACTTTCTAAAAGGCAGCCCACCCTCTGTTGCTGCCTCTGCCTGCTGTCATCCCAACTTGTTTCCTGTCTTGTGTAGGGAGGAGCCCCTGTCCCCAACCTCTGCTGGTCCTTTGAGCCTCCTGCCACCTAGGGGGCTGCCAGTGCAGGCACAGGGTTGGCTCAGGGCTGGTGCTTCTTTCTGCCCCTATGGCCCCTGGACTGGTGTTCTAGCCAGGTCTGAACAAAAGCAGGGGGAGGGGTGGCCAGCTTTCTCTTGCCTACCCAGGGATCTACCATGGGGGAGGGGGTGGGCACAGTGAGTTCTTGCATGTTTGGCCTTGGAAAGGTTCCCTGAAAAGAGGGCTGGGACTCTCACAAGCACTCTCCTGGCCTGATGAGCCCCTTAAATAAGCCAGCAACACCTGTGGACCCTGTCCTTATGGGTCCAAGGTACCTTCCTGCCCAGCTCCAAGGTGTTGAGGATGCTGAAACTGGTCCTTTCTCCCCGCCCCCTCAGTTTCCTCTGTAAAATGAGGAACAGGGCTAGATCAGAGCACTTTTTATTTTTGTTGAAGTGTCATCTAAGGGCAGTGTCGGGTGTGTGCCCTGCACCTCAGGGGGAGCGCTGGTGGTGCTGCAAAGCTGGGTGTGGTGGTGGGGAAGGACCCAGTGGAGTAGTGCTTGGATGCCTGTGGACTCTCTCAGGAAGGTCTGAGGAGCTAGTGGCTGCCTCTTAGGAAAGGGGGTGGGTGGCTGAGGATACAGGTGGAACAGATATCTACTTTGTAAGATAGAATTATTTAGAGAAATTCTGAGATTCTAACTGAAGTTCTATGGAGAAATTGTGTTAAGACATGGAGGACTTCCTGGAGAGCACAGGAGAGCTTGAAAGGTGCAGTTGGGGCTCTGCTCGTTCTCTGGCAGTGGGGGAAAGAGCAACTTTTAAGAAGTGTTGAACATGAGTGTTGTGTTACAGGGGAAATGAGTTCAAGTGCACTGTCCCAGTTTCTTGCTGTAGTGCTTCCATGTTCTCTTGAGTTCCCTCTCAGGTTTTGTTATGGCTGAAACATCCTGCCTGCTATCTTGCTAGCCCTATTTATTTCCTTCTGTTCCACTTAGAGGCTAGAGACAGAACAGGAACAGGTAGCCTGTGGGATAGGGAGTGCTCCCTCTTTGTGGACTGTCAGACCAGGAAGCCATTTCTGAGGAAAAGCCTTTGCTGAGGGAGGCAGACACCTGTGCTCCCCAGGATGCGGAGCAACCCCACTCTGTCCTCTGGTCCTTGGTGAGTGTTGCCTTAGCTGGGAGGTGAACTGTTGCTTGGATGGAGTGGATCTCCATAACTGGTGGCGTTCTCATGAAGCTGGGGGATGGCAGAGAGGGTGGAAAGAGTCACACTGTCCACACACCACCACAGCCCTGCAGGTGGCTATATTGCTCTGCAGTGTTGCTCTCTGTTATGGAGAGCCCAGCATTCCCCCATTGTGCCCCACCTCTCCAAGCCCAGCACATCCAAAGGCAACTGCTGCTGTTCAATATACAAGTCTCTTTATTGGTCATGGGGTGGGACTTGAGGACTCAGCCAAGAGGAGAACTGAGGAAAGGGACAGGTCAGGCTGGACAGCTTGCTGGAAGCCACCAGGCAAGCAAGGCCCTTGTCCCATGACCCTGGGAGAAACTATGTAGGCTGCACCTCTGCCTCTGCACTTCTTGCTGGAACAGAGAGCCCCTTGGCGGTCTGGACACACACCTGACCTTGGAGAGGGTACAGGGCCAAGTCAGGTCTTCTTTTTGAGCTGCAAAGAGAAATTGTCAAGAAAGCCTGTTATCCTAGCACACAGGAGCCAGAGGCAGGGGATTGCTCCAAGTTCCATACAACAGTACTCTATATCAAAACACACATATTCAGACACACATACTCACATATTCTCAGACACACATTCAGACACACATGCACACTTAACACTCCACACACATTCAGACACAAATTTACCCACTCAGATAAAGAAAAGCACTCTTTGACTGGAGACCTTAGTTAGGATCAGGCAGAGGAAAAGCTACCTATGCCTGGAAAGGTGTCCCCTCCAACAGTAGGCAAGGAGTTGGGGAGGGTATCATGACAAGGGAGCCACCATGAATGAAGGTAGCCAAGTCTAAGGATCTCCTCTAGTCACCCCCAGGGCACTGAGGGCAGGGTGCTTAGGACCAAGCTCAGATTCCAAGAATTCTAGAACTGTGGCAGAAGCCCAGGGAAGTTGCTTGTGAAAGGCAGGAGCATGTGTCCCTTGGGCCAGAGAGCGGGATCTGAGTGACGTCCATAGCTCAGGTGGCCTCTTTCCCAGTCCTGTCTTCAACCCCTGGAGACAACTAAAGCTTTCCTTCGAGGCTTCTAAGTTGGGTATGGTTCTCTGGGCTCTGGCCCTCCAGACTATGTGGGGAACCTGTTCCGAAGGAGGTCAGGAGGGCGGGAGCAGAGTCTGAAACACCCCAGTGCTCGCAACCTGTGACCCTGGGAAAGAAGCATCTGACTGCTCCTGTGGACATGGGAACAGGAAGAATCACCTGGTTTTCAGCCAGGGCAGATGAGCTGAGATAAGGTCTGGACAGGCTTCCAGAGTCAAGCGGTTACCAAGGTGCCTTCCTTCCTAGGGCAGAAGCTGGGCCTAGGAAACCTACAAAGAAAGGAGGTTTAGCCAGGTTTAGCAGCATAGCTGGCCTGCAGCTTGGGAAACCTTCAACATTCCCTCAGCCACCTTCCCCTCAGCCTTATTATCTAAGGAAGGAATTAATTCCAGAGTGAGCAGACGGTCTCTGTCAAACCATTGAGCCACCCAGCTCCACTCACCCTCATCTTCCTGATGCCTGGACTCCCCTCAGCCTTTCCACACACTTCTCTGCCCTTAGCTCCTCCTCTCCCCACCTTTGCCTTGACTGGAGGAGTTGGGGTGAGAAGTATGCTGGTCCATCATCATACTGAGAGACCCCCTAAAGTTGCTTATCCCAAACTTGGGTTCTTCCAGGTTTGGCTTCCAGGTCAGCTGCAGCTCCTCAGAGGCTCCCCCAATCCCAAGTCTGTTAGCCTAGTTCCCTCCACATTTCTGCCCACTCTGCCAAGGAGCCCCACCCCCAAGATGGCAGGATTTGGGGGGAACAGAAGGAGAGATCCATGTGTAGCAAAGTCAGAGAGGGGTTGTAGATATGACTCAGGACAGGGCCTACCCTGTTAGGGAAGAAGAAATTCAGATGACAGGGCCAGCCAGGATCTGTCAGCAACAGTAAAGAGGCAAGGGCTGGGGAGAGGGGTAGGAACAGTTCCATCATAAATTACCCTGCCCTCTCACACAGCCCTGTCCTCAGCTGAGAGCAGGGCCTTTTCCCTTTATACCTGTTTCTCAGCCAGCTGGCCCTACTCAGTGCTCTGCATCTTTGAAGCCAAGACAGCCATTCCTCGCTTTCTGTTGGGCAAAAGAAGGAACTGGATTTTTAGGGCCCTGTGGGAGCCTTCTGAGTAGTCCAAAGGCCTGGACATGCAGCCTAGGAAATGGCTCTACCCCAGTGGTCTCTGGCTCCTGACTCCTTTAGGGTGCTGATAGGGAACAAGGAAGGGGAATTATTGAGTGGGGGCCCCCAAGTCTTTTTTAAAAAAATTTATTACAAGGCCAGCCGTGATGGCACACACCTTTAATCCCAGCACTTGGGAGGCTGAGGCAGGAGAATGATGAGTTCGAGACCAGCTTTTGAGACCTTGTCTCAAATAAAGCAAAATTAAGGGGCTGGAGAGATGGGTCAGTGGTTAAGAGCACTGGCTGCTCTTGTAGAGGACCTAGGTTCTGTTCCTAGCACTCACATGGTGGCTGACAACTGTTTATAACTCCAGTTCCAGGGGATCCAACGCTCTCTTCCGGCTTCCGAAGGCATTGCATGACAAGGGTGCCTTATACATTTCAGTAGACAGAAACTCCATAGGACTGGCTTGTGTTGCTCTGGAAAACATGAAGAGGACTGAGGGAAGGAACAGGGCTAGCTGTGGGTAATCTAAGGGAGACAACCCCCTCATGTTGCTGGAAGGTATTCACACATGGTCAACCTCTAATGGAATCTTCTACCCTGCCCTCTCACTCAGCCCTCCCCTCGGCCTCCCCTCGGCCAGTACCAGCAAGATTCCACCCTTTACAGCAGACCTGAGACCTGAGACTCAGCTCCAGTCACAGATCCCAGTCACACTTCCCAGAGAGGCACCCAGAGCACCTCTACTCTCCCTGCCATCATCTCAAGGTCCTGGCTTAAGGCTTAGGTTTCTGGAAACCGCTTCACCTACCTCCAGTGGCCCCTCTTACTGTGTCCCTCAGTATTCACCATTGAACACTGGACATCTGTATGCTCCTTACAAAGCATGGTCATTTATACCACCTCATTTGACTGTCAGGGTGACCATGGCAGGAAGAAATTAGAGCCCAAAGGCATTGCCTATTCCCTTTCTCCACTAACAAGTGAGGGAAACCAGAATTTGTGTCCCAACCAGCCTGTCCAACTCAAATCTCAACCCCAAACCTCTCTTTGGTTGCCCTTCCTGCAGCCAGAGCCGTTGACCAGGCAAACCTGTGCACAAGATCCAGGCAGAGCTTGTGCCTGCAGTCACTCTACTCTTTCAAGTACTCAAAACTCAAAGAACAATTAGAAGGGTCAGGTAGGCAGTGAGGGTCTGGTGATAACGGAGAAGGTCTCTCCACAGTAACCTAGGAAGGGACACCGAGAGAAGGCCAGGAGAGAACTTGTGCTGAGGAAGACAAGAGTGGTTTGGGCACAGGTGGCCTAGGGCCTTGTTTTTTGTCTTTGGTAAGTGCTGCTTTTCTATCCTCCTAACACAGCCCTCCTTGCAGTAGGAATCCAGTGACAGCCCCTCTGGGCTCTAGTGGGACCAAGCCCAGAGGCTGGGGAGAGCTTGTCTGATTTAGGGAAGGAGAAGCTGGTAGGATCAAGAGGCACAGCTGGGTAAAATGGGAGGTGGGCAGAGATAGGGCCTTGATAATAGACCTGGAGGCCTGGCTGGGTGATAGACAGGAGCCTGGCCTGGGAACAGCCACAGCCTCACTGTGAGATGGTGGACAGGCCTGGTGCAGACCTGCTGAAGTCTAAGGCTGCCCCTTAATCTCACTCCTCCAACCGCGCCTATGTAGCACTGAAGTCCCTAGGAGCTAAGTCCCCTCACCTGACAAGCACTTCCAGGGACACTTACAGAGAAGCCTTTGTATGGAGGCTGGCACCTCACTTACATTCCAGACTAGGGGCCAGCAGCACCTTCTCTCCTCCCCACTCCCTTGTTCTCAGAATTACTTTAGACTGGCCTCTGGATCCCTCTGGATCCCTCTCTCCATTTTAGTTCCTCATGCCTTGTAGTCCTTGACCTCTTGAATTTTTTTTTTTTTTTTGTAAGAAAACTCAGAGACTAGTAAGTCCCTCCTAGAAATGATGTGCTACTCCTCTGCTATCTGTCCTAGCATCTCTGAGACTGTGTCTGACTTCCCTGGATCCTCACCATTAAACCAGCCTCCCTGCTTCAGCATCTGAGGCTTGTGATAATAGAACTTCTCCCTGTTTCTTCATCTTTTTGGTACAGACTCCCTTTGAGGGGCACGCTAGTTCATGCTATTTCTTTCTTGATGTCTATTTCCCATCACCTACCTCCTCAGAGTCCTGCATACCTTGCATTACTTCTCTCTTAGGGCCCTCCAGGAAGCCCCTGGGGCAGGCTACAGTACAACCACTGGACTGTGGTGGCTTGTGTCTGCTTCCCTCACTGAACACAGAGCCTCTACAGAGCCAAGGAAGTTGTGTGCCCCCCAAACCCTCACTTAGCCCCTGCATAGCACCTGGCATGATGTAGACACTCAAAGTGCCTGCTGAATGTAGGTGCCAACATGGAGGCAGGGGTAAGGGAAAGAAAGGCCCAGATACATGAAGTGCGACAAGGAGGAAATGACAGGATTTAAGACTGATTTGGATTTGAACTGAGGGGCTGGAAAGATGGCTCAGCAGTTAAGAGCACTTACTGCTCTGGCAGAGGACCTGGGTTCAGTTTCCAGCACCTACATGGCATCTAACAACCATCTGTAACTCCAGTTCCAGGGAATCTGATGTTCTCTTCTGACCTCAGTGGGTATTACATAACATCTTACATACATGCAGGCAATATACATAAAATAAAAATAATAAATAAAATATTTTTTTAAAAAAGGATTTGAGTTTAGAGGAAAGGAAACAAGAAGGTGGACATGACTCCCACTTGAAGTCAATGAGCATCTGAACTCCCTTGAATGGTCCCCTCCTGAGCTCTGCCACTTCAGAAGACAGCTGCTCCTTGTAGCTAAGGCCTGGGCATGTGACCATTCCAGTCTCTAATCTGAGAGCTAATGCAGACCTTGGGCAGTAATTAGGTATAAATCTGCAGTTGTGGATAGACTAAGCTTAAGGAAATGAGTGTTTCTAACTTCAGAGGATAGTTGGAAGTGACAAAAGTGAGTAAGTGGGAGAGATCAAGAGTTGCTGGCACTTTGTGGAACTGGTTGATCCAGAAGACTGAATGGATAGAACCAAGAGCAAGTCATTTAAGATATAACACCAGAAGTTGGGGCTGGAGAGATGGCTCAGAGGTTAAGAACACTGACTGTTTTTGCAGAAGACCCGGGTTTGAATCCCAGCACCCACATGGCAGCTAACAACTGTCCGTAACTCCAGTTCCAGGGAATCTGACAGCCTCTTCTGTTCTCCGTGGGCATTGCATGACACAGGTGCACTTACCTACACACAGGCAATACACGCATACACATAAAATAAAAATAATAAATAAAATATTTTTAAAAAGATATAACACCAGAAGCAAAGCCAATGGGGAGGGTGAGAAAGCCAAATCAGCATAAAATTATCCACAGAAGACCATTCAAGGAAGGGCACTGGGCCCAGTTGAGAGGCTGTGAGTGGATTACAGAAGGCACAGTTTCACCAGATCTGTGAAGACAGTAGTGGACAGAAGGAGAGAAGGTGTGGCATCACCTCTAATATACAGTGGCTCTTCACAGCCCCGAGAGCTTCCAGCTGGCAGATGATCCTGCCTGCCCACACCTTACCTTGTCTCTCTCTTGCTGGTCTTCCAAACTCTGATTCCTCCAGCATCTTTGCTACCACCCATGGTCTTGAGTCCTTCAGTGCTGAAGCCTCTCTGAGCCACCCGGCTCAGGTGCTGAACCTCACAGCTCTTCTGGTAGCATCCTTCCCCATCTCTTCCCTCTTTCTCTCTCTCTAATTCCACTAGTTTGGAATATTCAACTCTATTCTTGGTCAGCCAGGAAACCCTTTACTATGGTGTCACTCTCCTCCATGCCCACTACCGAGGCCTGGCTCTCAGCCCACACTTCTCAGAGGCGGCCATTTTACAGGCGCTAGCTACCTAAGATGGCGGCCTCCCTCTTCCTCGGCTTCCGTTCCCACAGCCTATCCTGCCTCTTTCTTTCTGAAGCCTGATGCCAACAAGGTGGGGGGCCAGGCTGAAGAGCCAAGGCTGGAGGAAGCAAGACAAAAAAGGACAGGAAAGGCAGTCCCTTGGCATCCCTCTTTGGCATTTGAGTCTTACCAGGGAGGGAGGGCAGAGAGGAAGAAAGAAAGTAGTGTGAGTTTTTATTTCTATCCTTTTCCTGCCACCTCCCCCACAGACCTCCCCCAACACTTTGATGGAAAAAAATCTCTCCCCTTTTTCCTCTACAACCCCTCACCCCTTTTTTCCTGGCTTCTACCATGAGCCTCCTGCAATGCAAATGAACTGTATTATGCAAATATATGCAAATAAGGCTTAACGAGCGGAAGGAGGGGGCAGAATGCTTAATGAGTAATGGTGAGGGTACAGATGGAGGGTGTCAGGAATGACTCCCTCCTCCTTTCTGTTCCCACAGCCTAGAGGTTTGCTAGAGGTACCAGGGTGTCCCTCAGTTCTGGGGAAGTGTGAAAGGTCGTGGTCCCAACTCAGCCCATTGCTTCAGCTGAGAATGCCTAGAATGGCTTTGATTATGGGTGAGGCACAGGAAAGGGGTTAAGTAGAAGGGATGGTGCCTACATGCTTACCCGAACACTGATATGTGTCAGTTTCCCTGCCCCTGTAGCCTTTGGTTCTGGGTGCTGGGGGCCCTGATTGTGAAGGGTAAGGCTAGGTATCAGAAAGGGTTCCCAAGGGAGGATTCCCAGCAAGACCCAGGTTGCTCCTAGAGGTGGGGGTGAGAGCTATCTTTTTTGTGCTTTGGGGATGGGGGTTGGGATGGTTACCATGGCAACATAGCACAGAACACCCACCTCACCAACATTCAGCCCCAGAGGATTTAGGGGTTGGGGGTGGGTAATGGACTGACATCCCCTGATGCCCCTGCCACCTGGCACTGCCAGCCGGAGATGGCAGCATCAAATCTGAGAGAATGCTCCCTTTGTTTCTAGGCTCACAGTGTTGGGGGAGCAAGCACGGGCACACAGAAGGGCCTTTCCCAGGCCCTGTTCCAGTTTGCATGACTCCTGCTGGCCTCCAGAGACTCCTGGGGCCATCCACTGGCCTATGTACCCTGGCAGATGGTAGCCCCTTTGGCTTTTTTTCTCCTGGCTTGCCAGCTCCTGCTAGGTAAGCCTTCCTAGTGCCTTCTGCAGGGCTTTCCCTCCAAGCTTCCTCAGCCAGTGAGAGCAGTCAGTTTCACCTCTTCCTGGCTCTCATGGACGTCTCACAGGCTCAGACATGTATCCTGTCCTTCTGTGTATGGGGATAACCTATGCAAAACTCCTGCCAGCATTGGGTGAGGAGACTCCAAAAGGAGGGCCTTCATGCCCCACATACCTGCTGAGTGGCCTGTGTCACATTTCTTTCCCTCCCTGGAGTTCTGTACAGTGACAGAAGGTGATGATGACTGAGGCTTGTTTTAGCTTCAGTTGAGCTGTACACTCTGTCTTAACATGGCTCAGGTGGAATCCTTCCTAACCCTGAGCGGCATCCTTATTCAATCTCCTCATATAGGACAAGCTCTATATTCTAGAGGTAGGCATGGCACAGCCCTCAGGCTTTGCTTCTCCTGAGTCTCCCTCAGATTCAGAATGTAGTGCTGGCTATCTGCCCGGAGACCAGTGAGGCCAGTGTTTTCTCACTCACCCACCGCCAGGAGCTGTCCGTGGTGCTGGAGATGCCACTGGGCCAAAGATCGGAGTCCACAGAGGGGAAAGAGGGCGGGAGGGTGGAGTACCCACCCGCCCAGGTGAAGAGCTGAAGGGAAGAGAAGGAGACATTTGGGTACAGCAAGAAAAAAGCTATCTTGAAGGGAGTCTCCCTTGGGACCGACTCTCTCTCTCTCTCTCTCTCTCTCTCTCTCTCTCTCTCTCCCTCTCTCTCCCCCTCTCTCCCTCCCTCCCTCTGAGGCAAGGCTTGAGCTTCCTAGCTCAGCCCTTGAGCAAGGCTGAGGAGAAAGCCCTTTAAATTCCATCCAACATACTAAGCCAAGGAATATAGTAATAAACATGAGAAAGAGACTCAACCTGTCTGATAGCATTAGAGATATCAAGGGCTTGGGAGGAAGGCAAGATCAGGCTGTGTGTGTGTGTGTGTGTGTGTGTGTGTGTGGTCTGTGTGTCTGTGTCTGTGTGCAAGTCCTGGCCACAGAGATGAGACTGATGCCAAGATCTCATTCCCACCCTCCTATTATTGGGCTGGGCTGGGCTCATCTTTATTTGGAGGAAAAGAAAGAAAGAAAGAAAGAAAGAAAGAAAGAAAGAAAGAAAGAAAGAAAGAAAGAAAGAAAGAAAGAAAGAAAGAAGGAGCTCCCTAGGTTAAAACCAAGTTAATAATCACTGCCCTAGAAGGAGACAGATAAGAAAAGCTACCTGAGCAGCTGGAAGAAAAGACACCTTAGAAGAAGGGAAGGACAGGGGAAAAAAAGGCTTGGGAAATAGACCCCGGGCCTAGCCTAGTCCCCATTCAGGTGTTGGGCTTGTCTCTTCTGTCTTGTGAAAACTCAAACCACACAACGCAGTGAGATGTACAGTGTCCCCACTGGACACCCTGTACATAGGTTAGGAATGGGTGCCACGATTGAGGGCATGCTGCTCCCCTCACCCAGAAGGTCCCCAGGGAAGCAGCCATGGATGGTAAACAGCAACAATGGTCCCTTTCAGTGTCCAGACTTCAGCCCTTCAGCCCAATTAGCAGACACAGCAAACAGCAATTCAGCTGCCTTCAGCTGCTGTCATAACAAACTCAGAGCTGCCTTAATGGGGGGATTAGGGCAGGAGGAGGAGTGTCACTCTAGCCCTGGCAGAGCCTGGGTGGCAAGGAGCCTCCCTTTTTTCTCACCTCTCTCCTAGATAAATGCACACACACCCACCCTTCCTTCCATAACCTTACTCTTCACTCTCCTCAAAAGCCCAAAATGTTTTCTAGCTTTATCTCCTCTTCCCCTGCAGTGACTTGAAATTATTAACCTAAATTCACTTATCCCCTGTGGGAGTTATCCCATCTGGCCTATGGGTGCTATAACTTCATCTCTATTGTGAGATCTTTTAAAAATGACTTTCTGGGGGCTGGAGAGATGGCTCAGTGGTTAAGAACACTGACTGTTCTTGCAGAAGACCCAGGTTTGAATCCCAGCACCCACATGGCAGCTAACAACTGTCCATAACTCCAGTTCCAAGGGATCTGACAGCCTCTTCTGTCCTCCACGGGCATTGCACACCACAGGTGCACTTACCTACATGCAGGCATAACACTCATACACATAAAATAAAAATAATAAATAAAATAAAATATAGATTTTCTGGGTCCAGAGAGATAGTTCAGTGGTTAAGAGCACTGGCTGCTCTTGCGGAGGACCCAGGTTCAATTTCCAGCACACACATGGTGGCTAACAATGATCTGTAACTCCAGTTCCAGGAGAATCCAACACCCTTTTCTGACCTCTGAGGGCATTGCATGACACGGGTACACTTACATATATATGCAGGCAATATACTCATACACTCCTGAGTGCTGAGATTATAAACATGAACTACTAAACCTGACTCCTGCTTTTAGTGACTCTAGAATCTACAAATTTAATGGCAGAATATTAGAGCTATTACTTACACATTATGCATAAGTCAGTTTGCAGGCAATAAACAAGTGCTTTTACAGGTAAGTGAAGGTACATTAAGAGAAAGCGCTGGGCGTGGTGGTGCACGCCTTTAATCCCAGCACTTGGGAGGCAGAGGCAGGTGGATCTCTGTGAGTTCAAGGCCAGCCTGGTCTACATAGTGAGTTCCAGGACAGCTGGAGCTACAGAGAGACCCTGTCTCACAAAGACCAAAGAGAGAGAGAGAGAGAGAGAGAGAGAGAGAGAGAAAGGGCACAGAGCTAGGTATCAGGCACATATATATATGACCATTCTGCCTTGTGGACCATAGCTCTTCCCCTAATGGGCTTCTCAAGGGTTTGTCTGTTCTCCCCAGGAGTCTCTCAGCTCTCAAAGCTGGAAAGGGAGGAGTAAATCTCTTCATTTAAATGTTTACAGTTCCTTAGTCACAAACATGCCAGAGATCTCTTTCCAAACTATGGCCTTCATGGGTCTGCAGCCTAAGGACAGCCTCCCTGTAGGTGTAACTTCATGGAGTGTAGAGTTCCTCTTTTGTTGCACAGAACAATGTGGGCAACTCAGAGGTACTGTGTACTTGGGGTGACTGAAGCCTGAGGCCAGGGTACCATCCTCAGCACCACAAAACAAAACAAAATTCCCTTAAGGGGTAAATTCCTCTCTGCTTTACACAAATACCTGAATCAAGCCTCAGAGGTAGGCAGGTCTGCTGAGCAAGATGCTGACTTTATTCAATTTCCTTTTTTTTCCCTAATTCTTCCCTTCTAAGTTTGCTGATTAAGATGTTATATTCATAGATTGCAAGGGCCTTCCGGCAAGACCTTTTTGATGCCTAAAATCAGAGGTGGGGGGATTGTTTGTCCCTGGGTGAGGGTATGGGTGATCATGCAAAATTGAATCAAATATTTACAAGAAAGTTGTCTTTGGTTGCCTAGACTGACAACACCATACAGGAGTATTACGATAAGGGACTTGAAGAAAAGTGGATCAAGAAACCAACTGAGAATTTGGTTTCCAGTAAATCTCGGTGGATGTAGCAAGCTTTGAAGAATAGAACTGGCAGTTACTAGACACAGACAGAGCTGTGATGAGACAAGAGAAATTCCCTCATTGGTAGCTGGTGACAATGCTCTTCTGCCTCCCTGTACTCCAACCGAAGCAGTTTTCCTACCGGGTTTAACTGGAGGAAGAGGGTTGCTATGTGGTATAAAGAATGGGGAGAGGGGTGATCCATACACAATGGCTTACGTCTGTAATCCTAGCATTTGAGAGACTGATGTAAGAGGATTGCCATGCCAGCCTGGGCTACAAAGTAAGACCCTATCTCAAAAACAGGAGCAAGAAATAGCTTGGAGCATAAAGGCATCTCCTACCAAGCCTAACATCTGAGTTCAAGTCCCAGAACCCACATGATTGAAGGAGAGAACTGACTACCACAAGTTGTCCTCTGACCTGCAAAAGTGTGCTGCTGTGGTATGAACACACACACACACACACACACACACACACACACACATACACACACACGCTCCCACACATAATTCGAACAAATGTTTTTCTTCAAAATAA